ACAGCTGAGTTTACCCCTCTCTGGAGACTGCTTACGTTACAATTAGCAGAAGTTTCTTAAGAAATTAACACTCTTAGTTCATGGAAGGAAACTAGGGCGAGGTGTTTCAGCAAGGAAAATTACTATCAGCACAGTCCTGAAGGGATGAATGCAGCATCTCTGAGGCACACTGATTGTTCTCAGTAATTCCCAGACTCCAAAGCCAGAAGGATCTTTGAACACTTACTGAAACACAGGACACATACTTACAGAAACATGCTTATATAACATTTGACTCCTATTTTTCTCTCATATGTATAAATCCTTGCTGAAATTTTACTTTCTGAATCTGTAAACAATATTCACTTTGGATTATTTAGATGCAAATTTTTTTGAATGCCGATTTTTAATTTTCTTAGGAGAAGGGTATATGTAAGTTATATAAAGTAAATTATAAAAAAGTGCATAAATATATATACACATGTAAGATACAAAAAGGAGAATGACTAACAGAATATTTAAATATCAGAAAAAACAAGGATACTTTCCTTATTCAATTTCAGTTGCACACATGAACTAGACAAAGATCTCACATGTCTTCAGAGTCTTGGTCAGGTGGTTGTTATTTTCTAAGATAATGGACCAGTGGAAACCAAGAACAAAATACTGTAATATCAGAAATCACTCTGGAAGTTGCTGAGAGAACTGTATTGAGCCCTCTGACCCTGTAACATTTTCACTGCCAGGTCACAGGTACAGAATGTTTGTTCACAAAGTAACTTTTAATACTCTGTGCTTAAGCCATATATCTTCTGATTGGAAAAGTGTTTCTAGCACTTTGTTATGAAAAATTCATTGAAAGAGAGTTTGCAGCAGTTCATTCAGAAATTCCACATGGTCAAGTCCTTTTTGAAAACCCAGAAACCAGTGGCAATAACAGAAGATTCAAATTAATATTCTGATTTCTCATTGCACACCTGCAGGTTGGAAAGGGCATAGGATAATACAACAGCTGTGTGCTTCCCCTCTAGAGAAGCAGGCAACACATCCCTGCTGGCAGCTTTTTAGCAGAACAGAAGGGACAGCACAGGAAGACTCAATCTAACATCTCTAATGTTAACAGAATTTCTCTACTAAAAAGCCCATAAAAACAAAACAAGAAGGAAAAGCATTTCAGAGCTCCAAGAGGGGCCAGAAATGGGATAAGAGAGAAGTAGAAATACAGATGATGTATTCAAAAGATGTCATCATCTCTTTAATGTGTTTTGTCTTGTCAGCTGTTAACATCCTTAGCTGCTCCATTTGCAGTGGTACAGAAGATGGGCAAAGGCTGAGCTTGGAGCAGCAGCTGTACTCTGAGGGCTGGGTAACTGGATCCAGCCTTCTTAAGCAGACACAGGGAGAGTGCTGCTGAGGTGAACTCAGTTTAATAGGTTGCTACTTACAGGCTTAGACCGATTTACAGGTGTTTGCCCTGAAATATGACCACCTATGTCACCACTGCTAATCCTCTCCCCTTCTGAAATACTCCCACTTCAACAGATAGCTGTTTTTGGGGAAGAAAACCCACATATATACCAAAAAGCAACAGTGCTCTCTAAATGTCCTCCCACAGGCAGGGCAGCCTGACTATCACACGTGAGACAAGTTGTCTTTGGTGTACAGCAAACCAAACCCTTGGTTGCCTATGTCATAGAGGGTGTCAGCCACATGCAAGTGACAGTAATAACAGGGATGTCACAGGGAGAGCACACACAGACCTCGCATCCTCCTCCCTGGCAGCCTGGTAGAAAACCTCCTGTTGGCAATACAAAGCCTGGGAAGCATAGCTGGCTGCTCCCACTGTGTCCAGGGGAACAGTGTATTTTCATCTTTCTCTGCTGAACACTTCCCTTTTGCCTGTTCTCTCAGGCTTCTGACCTCTTTTCTACAACTGAGTTTCCATCCAGCCTGCAGCCCAGTTTTGGATCCTGACACACTGCTGGAGACATACTGTGAGAGATTCAATGGCCAGAGCACTGTGATGCTCTGGGCCTGGTGAATCAGTTCCTATTCCCTGCCCACACTGCTCCAGCACTGTGGTAATGATTTGCAGACATACATGAGGACAGGGTTCACAGTCTAAGTATACCAACAAAAAATTATCTTGGGTTTGAATGTAAGTTTACATAAGCAGATAACCCTTTTTTCCTTAAGTAATATATCATATAGGTACTGACTGTGTTGCATACATCTGTCTCTTAGCTAAGCTTAGAGACTGCTGGGTAGTTTCTAGGAATCTACCACTCACAGCTTCTAGGAGTTCAAGGCCATGCCAAGTCTCACATACTGAGCATAAGATCTGGTATCCTTGCTGCTGTTCTTAGCTCCATACCCACAGAACCTGCATTTTAGCTATCTTGAAGCATAGCAACACTCCCTCTCTGTCACTTTGGGATTTTAATGTGGCAGATATTTTGGTATTGCAGGGCATGCTGTGGGAGAGGTGCCCTGCAGGCATCACAGGTGAACCACAACCAAAACTGCTGTCAGAAGGAAAAGCCTGGTGTTGAGGACCCACTTGCCCATCATGTGGCCCAACACAGCTGCCAAGTGGGAGATACTCAGAGCCCAAACAATATCAATCAGGATCTCAGTGTATCCCACAACTTAAAGAATCAAATCCATAGGCACAGGAGCCCAACTTTTTGCCCTGAAAACATCATCCAGAAAGCTGCTACAAATTTTCAGGGACTTTCTAAGCAGAAACCAAGCAGGAAGCCAAAATATACATGTTAGATACAGGGATAAAGCTGGATGAAAGTCCACAGTGAATGTGAGTTTCATATCCAAACTAGCAGGGAAAATGGATATCTGTGCTGCTGTAAAACAGTCACACTGGAGCTCCAAGCACAGCAAAAACAATTCTGCCTGGGATTCCCCCCTTTTTTCCAGTACTACAGAAAAAACACCTCCAGCAAAAGCTGATGGTGATTATAAGTGGTGAGGGGGTAGGGATCCCATTCCCTGCAACAGGGACCCCTCACATGCTTCATCTCCATCTCTCCTATTTTTGGCCCTAGGAGTACCATAATATTTTGAGGTATCTAGGTGTGTGCCAAGAGACTGGCATTGCTCTTCAGTTTCTGTGGATGCCACTGCTCTCCAAAAGTTTTCCTTGGTGTAGACAATCACATATGTGCTTATCTATCGTTTCCCAATGGCTTCCTCTTTCCATTCCAATACAGCTTTTTCCAATACATCCTGCTTCTGTTGTTCCTCTGCTATGTAAGCAGTTCTCTGTCTATTCTTGCTTTTTTTCCCCCCTAGCTCTGCACAGCAGCTACTTACTAGTTACTCAGAATCCAAATAATTTAGGTCAAAAAGCTCAGTGAATCTGATGTGGTTTGTTTCACATAAAAAAGAGTGAAATTGAAAACCATCTTATTCTTCTCAACTGAAATGCTGCATCCCTATTAATTCAGGTGTATAAATAACACTCTCTAATGCTGCATCAAGGGCTCTGCTGTGTGATTAAACCTGCCTCCCTGACCTGTAATTAGAAACTTTAGTTTTGAAAGGCAGTTTGCAGAGAGAAAAGGAGAAAGAAAAAGAGAAAGGAACTAGCTCTCAGACCCAACAATTTTGTTCTTAATAAATTATTCAGAGTTTTTGAAAGTTGAGCTGGATTTCCATCTGCTAGCATTAAAGACCAAAGGGAAGAAGAACTGAAGGATTCTCACAGCACAACACAACAGCAGAGCATGGGGCTTGAAACCAAAACCCAGCAGAGAAGTTCACTGTGTCCTCTGCCTGTCCCTGCTGCCTGTGCACACCTGGACTTCCAGAAGCTCTCAGAGTAATGCAGAGTGACCCTCCACCAAAGTCCCACTGAGCTAGTTATGTACAGTTTGGGATATAAGATTAGAAGAAAACCCCCAAATTTCATGAATGCTTTACAAATGTCAGTGCAATCAGGCAATGAACATGCAAAATAGTGATGGTGATGAGTACAGAAACAACATAAACACCAGATTGCATGGTCATACACCAGTAATATATAGCCTTTTCAAGACAAGTAATTTAAAGATGAATTATAAATGATTGAACTGATTTTTTGCTCCAGGGGCAGTCAGACAGTACAGACCATTGTACTGTTACAGATGCTAATCACTGTTAGTTGTAACCCCAAGGTACATCTGCTGTTTTAAGGTGAACTTCTCACTTGGAAGTGGGGAGATAGTAAATCCCTTTTTCTCCCGGAGTCATAGTAAAAAAACTACTATTCCTTCAGTCAAATGTTGACTCATTTTAACATTAAAAAAACCCCAAACCAAAAAACTAAAAAACAAAACCAAAAAACCCACCAAACATAACCCACAAATAAAACATTCCAATTTTTGCAAAGGATGTCAGTAAGCTTTCCTCTTTCTATAAACTGGGGATAGAACAAGCTTTTGAGCCCCGGATAACACAGGTGATGAACCAGCCCTGGGATGAGAGGTCTCTGGCCTTGGGTATTTGGCAGCTGTTTCCAGAGCTCTGCTTGACTTCAGATCAGAGAGATTTTGTGATGAATTCCTCCTCTGGTTACACCTATAATCTTTGTGTTGAGGGTGTGACTGACATCAGTTTCAGTCTTTTATGTTTTCAGGCTCAAGTTTGCAAGGCCTCACACCAGGAGAATCAAGAGCTGGCTAATTTTCTGTATAACTGTTTTTCTCTAGAAACTTTACCAGGTTGATCCAAAGTTTCAGGGCAGCCTTATGAATTGAGACATCTGGTTTAAGGAGACTTAAGTGAGAGAGGGAAAACCTGAGTTTCACATCTCAATGACCCTTTGGTCAAAATACCAGACCTCACTGAATTCTCCAATACTTTATATCTTCTACTATGTGTTTTTAACATGCACAACTTTAACAAAAAGACCAGGCTAAATCTACCAAAATAATTGTCACTGGTAGAAATGTCTTCATTCCAGTTTGCCTAAGTTTGTAAATGTATAAGGTACAGAGCCATTGGAGACCACAGGCTTGGTACGAGGAGGGTGTGGATCCATGAAACAAAAGAGTCCTTCAAATTCAATAAGAACAAGTTTAAGTAATCTTTTGTGTTTGCAGTGTGGTAGAGTCCAAGTTTATCACAGAGCTGCCAGAACATAAATCTGATACAAACTACTTTGGATTAAATAGCACAGCAGAAAGAGCTTTACTAGGGTACTGTGACAAGTTTTATGAACTTTTTAAAGAAACAGGACTTGGAAATACTCACTGTTGATTGTCTTGAGGGCTTGAACACTCAGCACTAAGAAGGGAAGAAGAAAAAAAGATAAGAAATTCAGAAAAAAGAGCAATACTTGAAACTCATATAAAGATACATTTGTTTTTCAACTGGAATTTTATGTCAGTTATACTTCAAGCTGAGTCCTGTGAATCCAGCATGCCCTGCCTTCCTTGGATGCAACCATGGGGTCTCCTCCTCCCGTTTTTACAAATGCACAGTGAGTAAAGTGTCAATTCTCTACCCTTGCCTTTGAGGGTCTCTTTCATCTTTTAACATTGGTATGCAAGTACATAAGCCAGAAGAGGTAAAGAATTAGGAATATATCAACTTCCGGGGACTATCTGTCTCTGCATGTGGTACCTTCAGGCACAGGGAGTGCCTGGTAGCTCCTGAGATGTACACTTTGCACCAGCACAGAGGGGAACAGTTTCAGCTCTCTGCAGGGACCATGTTCAGGGTGAGTGACTTGTGTGGCTTTCCTTGGAGCTCTTTCCAGCCCTGGGCTCCACGTTGGCCTGCTTGAGTTACTAAGCAGTTTCTCTGGTTTCCAGCAAGTCATACATACCCAGAACCAGCCCACAAGGCTTGAAACCTCTTTCCCATCTGCTGCCATGGTCCCCCTCATTCTCCACAGCCATCAACAGAGTTGCTCAGGGTGAAGTGGCTGCCTGCCCTCTATTTCTCATTTCTTGTGGGCAGTTTATTATCTACATTCATTCCTTTGAAGATTTTGCTCTCCCATACAGGGATTTATACCATAAGCCTCCCCCCCCCCCCCCCTGTACATATGCCTCTTATGCCACCTTCTCAAGCTTCTCAGCTCCCCTGGCAAGGTCTGGGGCACGTGCATGCCCTCGAGCAGATTGTGTACGTTTTGCTGTGATAGCAGTGGTTTCCTCTTCAGGAATCTCTTATTCTCTCTTACAATAGCATTTTAATGCCCCATCTACCTCCACTCCCTGAGTAAATGGGTTCTCTAAATGTCACTGTCAGTGTTCCTGTGCATGCTTACATTACTCCTCTAGCAGAGCACCCTTAACTCCCTCACATCTGGGTTTCTTTTTCCTCCTAGCTTTGGATCTCGATTCTTCTTCAATTCTGCAGAGGTTGCTGCACAAGCCCTGTATTTATTTGGTGGCAGATCTTTCTGTGTGCTCACATAACATTTCTAGAACAATAGACAGAGATGAGATAAAGGTATTGGTATGGGAGAGCTATCACCTGGTTGCTTCACACCTTCAAGTGCAGTGGTACCTAAATCACTGCTGCTTCACAATTCTCCCTTTTTGATTTCCTAGTATTTCCACAAATTAGTGGCTTTCTCTCTCACAGTAATAATAGAAAGTCACTGAAATTTTTGTAGTTGGTCAGATGAAGCATTTAGAAGTCATCCTATACCATGAAGTCAGAGAGAAACAATGACCAGATGAGCACACAGCCTCACAAGTTTAGCCTTAGTCATAGTCATAGTTTAGCCTTCGGCAAATCAAAGGGAAATTTTCATCAAACATTGAGCTGAATCATAGTGGAATAATGTTCAGTTGGTCTTGGGAAAAAGAGGGTTTATGCAAGGTTTTCTTGGTGACATCCCAAGTGATTTCCAAATTTCAGAATAAAATGAAAGATGGATCCAATGGTTTGTATTATTCCCAACCTCCAGACTGAAATATAGTACTACACTGAAAAATAATGCTAAATAAAAAATTGTTCAGCATCTATCCAGTGACTCTGAAGAACACCTTCACTGCTCCTCAGTACAAATGCTTTTCTAGCTTTAAGAATGCAGAGAGGGTTCTAAAAATCAAGCTGGGTTTCTGAGCATCAGCAGAGATGCCATTTCTACACTGCAGCTTTGAAAATATGATTAAAGCCTGAAGCACAATGCTGTGCTCCATGGGACATATCTGACCCACACGCTGCCTTTTCAACTCTCTACGTTTTCTAAATCATGTACATTATGAGTGAATAGGAAGAAAATGTGTAAACAAGAACAGAAAAGGTCATTGCAAGTTCATTAATTCTGATCACTTAATAAGCTGTAAATTGAAGTGCATGAATTCCATTCTCTTGAACACCAGGATAAATTTGAAGAATCTCTATTGACTTAATTTACACTGATATGCATTAGAATAGTTTCTGGCACATTCAGAATCAAAATAATTATTACAGCAACCTTCAGGACCAGAAGGCACCCAGCTCCCATTTAGTAACTAAATGAGGGACAGACTTACAAAAGCAAAGAATTCACCAATTAAAAAAAAAAATCTTAATTATTTTAAAGGTGGTGCAGAGGCACAAGCATGGAGGTTGTGAATTTTAGGGCTGCAGGACTGGCCCTAAGAAGCAGAGTGACACTTTGCACCTAACTAATGAGAACACTGTGCTGTGCAAAAGAGCTACTACTGTCCTCTGTGCCCGCTTCTCACAGAAGACATAGGTGAACTGTATACAAGGGGGCAGAACTGTTTGAATAACTTTGTCAAGCCACTAATCAGAGTGGTACTGATAGATTTCAGAGCTTTTTGCTTGCAGGTCCTCTCAGAGGTCATGAGGACTCCAGGAGGATAACTTCCTATGCTAAGACAAACATTGTTTTTGAATTCTTTACTCTGTGGTTAGAATGCTGTCCAAGAAATCTTACACTAGCTTTCTTGGAAAATAAAACAGTTGGCCACTTCTAGGGACTAAAAGGCATCCTCAGTATCTTCCTGAACACCTTAACTATCTAAAATGATGATAAAAGCATCATGGTGGGAAAAACAAGCTGAACAAAGTCTAAAAAAAGTTTAATATAAATCACTGGGGCTGCTCGGTTGCAATACCACAAAGTTTCCTCTGTCTTCTCCTGCTGGTGGTTTGTCTGCAAGGAAGTCCCAAGAAGGCATGTCTAAAGCGATGCCCTTGAAACATGCCTGTGACTGCCTGGGAACGATCCAGCGACGTGTCCAGCGAGCTCCTCCTGCCGGCTGCTCTCCCGGCATCCGGGCTCGTGCAGATAGACCTGAATTTTCAGGTAGCTGAAGAGAGGCAAAGTTAAGGCCACACCTTCCTTATTGTCATAGCAATAATGTCTCTCATATCACTGCCCGTCCCCTCCAGGAGTCTCAGACACACGGAGGTGCTGTGGTCCATGCCAGGAACTGGGCAGAGCAGCAGCTGCAGAGGAGCCTGGGGGGCCTGAGAAGCAAAGGTGAGCAGGACTGGCAGGGCCCTTGGGTAAAGGGGTACACAGACACAGTGACCGAGCAAGAAGAGCACAGCAGGTCTGTTGACAGTGACCACACATAGCCAGGAGATCAGTGAGCCCACAGGGATGAAGTGCCAGGTCTGGAGCAAAGCCAGGAACTCAAGTCAGGATCAGCCACAGCCAGGTCCACAGTCAGGCACAAACAGCCCTACAGCCCAACCCAAATGAGGACTGAGGACAAGGGCAGCTCTGTGCCATGGCTCCCAATGGAATTGGGGAGGCCTCAGCTGGCTTCTCCCAGCTCTTTGGCAGACAGCTCTTCTCACAGCACTCTGATCCCAGATTGCATTCCACTGTATCATGAACCACCTCAAACACAGGCAGCCAAACCTGTAGGACAGGGGTAGGAGGTTGCAGAATCAGCTGGTGCACTCAGGGCACTGTCAGCACACTGCCCAGCACAGCCACGAGAGAACATAAAAATTATTCCAGGTGTTGACAAGGGAACCTGGGTACAGATATGCCGCAGAGATTAGCAGTGTGCAAGACAGACAACCCATACTTCAGCTGTTTCAGGGTCTAGGAAGGAATTACCTTTGCAGGGCACTGTATGTGTGCTTGTGTTTTACCAATCTCTTGGGAAACCCTTCTTTCTAGGCCAAAGTAAATCTGCCATTGAGATGTAATGGTAAAACCTTTTTAGTTTATAACTTAAACCAGAAAAAATGCAAATGTAAACTAATCCTGGCTTCCCATAAAAAAAGCCACCCACGCCATATATTCCTCTGTGACATTTCAGTTGCTCAGCTCTTTGGTGAAACTATGTCCCAAAAGAAGAACATAGACAGGCCATACTGGTACCCCATTTCCTACTTCCCCACAGGTGACATCTGCCATGGCCCTGCACTGGCAGGTCTTGGAGGTATCTGCATCAGTCCAAACTCCCAACCCTGCCTGCATGGAGAGGTGAAACTTCCTGAGGCAACAAAACCCAAGTGGCAGATAACAACTGTCTTCAAAAAGGCAACTTCTTGAATCAATAAGGAAAGACTAACCCTTTAGAAAAAGGTGTCCGTGATTGTCTTATTGAGTTACACTGGGGAAAATCAAAGACACACAGAGAGGGGAAGGGAAAAAACATGAGGCGAGCATCCCAAAAGTGTTCCCAGCTGCACTGACGCTGATACACTGCTCAGATAAAGCCAGTCTGCCCTGCAATGTTTACATGGATACAGCAGAGAGCAATGATCTACTGAAAAAAATAACTTATTTTATCAATAATGATTTAAAAACCTTCCAAATTATGTAAAATATTTTGGAAAAAAGCCACATTTATGAAGAGAAATCCATAATTTTGCTGAGGTGGCCAGGGATATATTGTGTCTCATACATAGAGCACTGAAAGCATATAGGACTGTTACTAAATGTGGCTTCTCTGCCAAGTAATTGTATTCTTGTACTTTATATTTCCAGTGTGAAAACTCTAATGAAACATTTTAAACCAAAGCCGTTTCCTTGGAGCTGCCTTTGACCTTCTTTTCCTTCTCTCTCAGCCAAATCTCCCTGCCAGGATGAATTCAGACCTAATGTCTGCTCCTCCCACCAGGTTTTTGGATATGTGACAATATCCTAGTCACTGGGAGCTCTGCCTGCTGGTGTCCATTGTCTTGTGTCCAGTTTCGGAGAGGGCTTTTAAGGAAAAGCCCAGAATTAAATTTATGAAGAGTCCAATCATTTACAGGAATGACCAACCCTGTAGCTACTTTCTGCACACATCTACCAAAACCTTGTGAGTCCTTACTAACAAGGCACTAGCATAGGAAAGGTTCAAGGTCTGAGAAAAAGCTTTTGAAAGTTTAAAAAACAAAATAAATAAACAAAAACAAATTTGAAATGAGGGTCCAATCAAAAAATACTACAAGCCTGTACATCAGCTAGAGGTGTTGTTGTGGGACTGCCTACCAAGCTGCTGTTCAGAGCCTGTTACATTCCCGACAGGCACCAAAAAGGGGTTACACATAGCCCTGACAGAGCTGCTGGCAGTGCTCTGTGGAATGCATCTGTCCCAGCAGTTCGGTGACATGCACTGCACAGACATGCAGCCTGATCACAGCCACTGCTGAGTACAGCCAAGGCACTACATGATGACACTGAGGTCCCAGTGCAGTGACAGGACATAATGAAGGGTCCAAGAAAGGTGCTGCTCAGAATGGAAATGCCAGGTGCATTGCCCAAAGAGGAGCGGGTCTGTGGGACAGGGGCACAGACTGGCAGCCTGGTGTAGCAAAGTGCAGCTGATGTAAGGCCCTGGATAATTCACCAATGTTGTTGATGGTATGGTCAGAAGCTACCCAAAGGAAACCACATTATATGCCTTATTTACAATCAGTCCAAATCTGTAGAAACATATGTATCATCTGTGTCTCACTTTGTGTGCTGTCATCTATACTGCCTGCCTATATAGTTTTGGTACATGAACAAATACATACCTTGGGAGAAAGTAAAACTGCTTTCTCTGCTAAATCTCTTGTAATCACACCAAAAAACAAAAAAGCCTTTGCAGATATCTATCCAGTTCCCACATTAAATCAGTATGTTATTTGACAAACGTTTTCATTTAAAGACCAAGTACCTGCTAGGAATTCACAACTAGGCTTGAGTCCTTTGTCTACAAACTCTTAACTTTTCTTCTTCAGTCCCTATTCCCCCTTCCATCTCTGTCCTGCAATTTGCCAGCCTCCTTTATGTCTCAGTTGTGTCTGCACAATGTGAGGCAGGCAGACCCATTTGCCCACAAACAGAAAAGCTCCTCCAGCTCACAATAACTCAGCAGGCTTCTGCGATTTTCAGAGCCTGCACTACTGTGTGCCCATATCTGCTGTCAAATTACTGCCTGGACACAGGCTCCACAGCTAACCTCAGCCTTACCCCAAACATGAAATTGTCTCTGAGACCTCAGGAACATTCATCTTGTCCTGCAGCTCTTCCTACATAAAGTGGTGTAAACCCAGCTGATGCTTCTAGGAAATAAAGAACAAGCTTACCCCTCCAAAGATGTGTTATGATTTTATGGCCCCTTCCTGCAACCTACTGAGAGTGGATGTGCTACATATCATACATTTAAAACACATCAACACAGATTTGAAGGGTGTACAGTTCTTCTGAGGTTTCTAAAGGAAAATAGAGATGAAAGCCATAAAAAACAACCCTTCACACACAGCAGAGTTTGAGAAGTAAAATTTTAACATAAGTTCACATTTCCCTTTAGTGTAAGTTCTGGCAGTCCCAAGACTGTTCTAACTTCTAGCTGCTTGTAATGGCTGTAACATCACAAGCAGTGAGGGAAAACCCTGAGTACATTGACTCCAACCTTAGCTGCCTTCCCTTAAAACACTCATCTTGCCCTACTCTATTTGAAGCTGTGAAAAGACAGTGATAATAATAGGAAACTGCTCCTAGAGCTCCTACAAAGGAGACAGTTATTTTGATGTCTTGCCTCATTGCAAATACCTGTACATAGAAAAGATGACATGCACAGATCACACACAAACCTGTAATCGAGGCAAGTCAGGATGTTATTGACTGTAATTGCTGTTGCCTGTCTCGACCTTCTCCTTGAGGTGTCTCCACCTCCCATTACAATGTCACAGCTAAAGGACTTCCTCCGTGGTCTGCAAAGAAGCAAAACAGCAAATGGCAAGAGAGAACTGACATCATTTATATAACATTAAAATTAATTCTAAATCAACAATTCAGAGAAAGAACATTGCTTAAAAGTAGACTGAAAGAGATTTCACTGACAGACAATGTTAACAGTGATATTTTGTATATATAAAGCATCCTGTACGCCAAATCCTCAAGATGTTACCAAAAAAAAAAAAACCAAAACAAACAAACAAACAAAACCCACTACCTTTCTTCAGTGTTTTGCCGAAAAAGTGAAAAAGTGAGGCATAAGCATTCATAGGACTTTGCAGAGTAACTGAAAATTTACAACCAGAATGAAGAACAGAATCCAGGCTTTTTAATCCATTAGTCAATTATGTGCATTATTTTAAAGCAGCCCTTGGATTTATTTATTTTAGTGTAGGTTGGGTAAAAAGGAGCACTAAAGCAGAAATATACATGTGTTCTACATCTTAAACTAAGACTTTCCTCCTGGAAAGGCAATAAGGATACCCTGCAGGCCAAGGTTTTCTATGCAGCCATAAAACCTTCATCATCTGGAGTGTGCTGATAGCCAGGATAACCCCCAATCCATGTTCCATACACAGTGCATGCTGCAGGAGGGAAAGATAACAAAGCACTTTAATGGAGAGAGAACTCCATCAGGGAAGTCCTTTTGGGCCCCATTTCCATCAGGTCATAAAAGGAACAGCCTGGACCCACATGCTGGGCTCTACTAAGGCTGCTCCACGCTGCAGCTCTTCATTTGCAAAAGAAATTGCTCATTCATTTCCCTCTGACCTCTGCAGATACTTCAGACTGCTGACCTCATCTGCTGATGGCTCCCACCACTAGAGCCAGCATCTTCAAACAGGTGCTCCCAGACAAACCCCTCCACCTTCCCAAGCAAGCTGAACTAAGACAGCTCCAAGATTCCTGAATCAAGGCTCCCGGGAGGCTATTTGTGCATGGGCTGGGAATGTTCAGCCCTCAATGCATTTATTTTCTGTTCAGAAAAGCAGAGGCCATAAATGAAAAGGATGTACAGATGAGAAGGTGTACATTTTGTCAGGTGAAGTCAAAACATACCTTAACACACCATGTGAGTATGAAGTGCACACTCACATACTTGTATGAGTATGCACTTGACAACATAGATTTCTTTGCTGCAACTACTGACAGCTACACTTTCTATTAGTGTGTGGTGGCCCAAGCAGGTTCCTGAAGTCCCTCTAGACAACTCAGCGACTTGTGACTGGGAATTCTCACCTCTGCAGTAGATTTCCAGACTCAGTTTCATGACCAGAGATGAAAGGTGACAATTCTACTTCAGCAGAGGAATCCCTGTGCTTGTATTGCATCCCAAGAAAAAGACACATCTCTTCAGACACACCCATTTACCTTGGCATTCACAGCCTTATTATCAAGAGTATCACAATACATATTGACTATTGACTTTTGTTCTTAACAGCCCTGTTCCAGAGAGATTACTCCATTCCACAGCTAAGGATACAAAGGCATTAGGTGGCTGAACTGGGAATTCAGTGCTGGTTTCATGTTCAAATTCAGAGTCCTGCTCATTGGACTAATCTCTGGACAGCATTTTCCACTTGGCAGAGAAATTTCAGTTTTCAGGTCCGAGGATGGAGTCACAGATACATGTATCACCGACTGATATCTTTGTCAATAAAAGTAGCACAAAAACCAAGCAAGCTAGGTCAGCTCTTCCACTGGTCTCCAAAGAACAACCAATTATTAGAGTGAGCATAACCATTTTTAATAAGTCAGCTGTTTTGGAAGCCAAACTGTTTGTTCCGAGTGCCACACAGATAGCTCCTGCTACTGGCAGAAGAGGCCTGTGAATCAGAGCCCGAAGTCTGATGCAAGAGGAATTTGGGCGTCTCAAGCTGATTTCTCCAGCAGAGAACCCTGTTCGTTTGAGAAAGTCCCCTGCCTGCTTTCTCTCTGAGTAATTAAGAGTGAAATCCTCCTCTCGGTGACCCCAATGCTCTCAGCCTAGGCTGATTTACACATGAAAGGAACCCTCTGAGGGGCTTTCTCTCTTTCACATTCACAACCAGGCAGGACCTATAAATAAAACCTTTCTGAAAACAGGAGCTTTCAAAAAGGTCTGTGTATGTGCACAAACGTGTAAGAGAGAAAGGGAATGGCTGTGTGCACTGGAGGATGTGTGTTTGCATGCATATGTGAGGCGTGGGTGAGAAGAATGTGCATTCACACACCAGCCCTCATGCAAACAAGTGTGCTCAGAAAAGCATCTGCAGGGATGGGGAGCGTGCACAGGTGCTGGGGGCACTTACAGGAGCCAGAGGGCAGGTCCAGGCTGGTTTCCAGCTAGCACAATTCCAGGGGTTCACCCCAGACAGCTGAGTCATGCTAGAGTTACACACGGAAAACGAGAGCAGATTCAGACCCAATTGTACATAGAGACCAAACTTGTGAAGCACTTTCCCTCCACAAAGCAGTAAAGTAATTGTAGGACAAACACCAGTGGTTTACACTGCTTTGGCTTTGACGTGGGAGGTAACACAGAATCAGAACTCAGTTCCTACGGTTTTGACAGAAGATGAGATTTTTAAGCGGTCACATCTTTTCAGCTGTCCAGGAGAGTGAATCGTGTTGCATTTTCCAGGGCTGTCATTGTTCAAAAGTAAATTTTAGTTTTCTGGAACATTAAACCCCTCAAAGTTTGAAAAATAAATGACTACACAGATGACCTGAAAATGAAGGTCAGAAAATCAAAAGGACTATGACTACTTTTACAGTAGTTATAAAAGAAAAAAAAAAATGCTTAGATATGCATCTGAATTGTCCTGTTGATCCATGTGGCTAGGAAATCAGGCCAGGATATCTCCACTTCCATGAGGCCTATGGAGGACCTACAGAACTTCCAGGAAACTTGGCAGTTAGTGTGACCCTGCCCTAATACAAAACAGGTGACACAGAGCTTGGAGCCAAGCCAGGGCAGCCCACAGGGTTTCACAAAGCAGGTTCTGCTCTCTGGGTCTTTGCCCCTCTAAGAGTTGGCTTCTTAGGACCTGGCTACAACGTGGTATTTCAGAACTGCAAATTATTCTACTCCACTACTCCTGACCAGCTGAAACATTTGCTTTACCGAATCTGTGCCCGTGCCGTATGCTAATGCCAGTAATCGCGATGTAGGTGTGTTAAAACCACGGCAGCTGCTCCACTGCTTGAGAGACTCCAGGGTGTTAAGAGGGAGGCAGGAGAGGTGCTGCACCCTTCCGATTTCATCACTGCTAATTGCAACTCTTGGATCTCTTCCCCCGCCCCCAATTCTTATGCAAATATTTAGAAGAAGTAGGCAGAAAAAAAGGCACAAAACAGGAGATATAAAGAGTGCAAAGCCTCACAGGAGCGCACAAAGCACAAAATGTCTCTTCTGCGTGTTCAAAAGACTCTTCCCCGCTCCTTGCGCTATGCGGGAGTGTGTGAGCAGGGATTCAGAGCTCCCCTCCCACTGAGCTCGCAGCTAAAGCCCTCCCCCAGTTCCCAGGGTCTTCAAATGAAGATTTGCATAGTAGTTCCAGATCATTCCCGAGGGAAGGGACAATGGCTCTCTCAAGGGCCTCTTCCCCCCAGCCCTCCCTCCCAAAGCTGATAAAGCCCTGGTGAAAAAGGGAACAAAGGATTTACAGATGTCAGAATATTGATTTCTGAGGTTCCAGGACTACAGGGAGAAGATGAAGAAAACTTTTGCCCCCAGAAACTTTCTTGAATTTGAGGCACAGACGCTATCTGTGCAGCACGAACTCCGCGTTTGTTAAGACTGTATCTGATGGAGGCAATATTGCTATTCGAGAGGGATGAGCAGGGCCCTGAAAACGCGAAAATCCACGGGGATGAGGTTACAGCCTGCAGTTCCCAAGAGCGCATTTGTTGTTGCCAGACCTGATGAACGGAGGCAGTTCCAGCGAAAGCAGCTTGCCACCAGGCGGGCCGGGCCGGCATTGCTGCGGCCGCCGGCGGTACCTCCCTCCAGCGCATCTCGACTCTCGCTGGTGTCCTGCCCTCTCTGCCGCCCACCGCTGCACCTGGGAAAAGTAACTGAAAGGTGAAAGTCTTCGAGTGGCCTTTGATTCGAATCAGAGTGGAATGGAGGTTCTCAAAACTCACTCAACTCGGCCGTTTCCCGAAAGCCAAAGCTTTCTGCTCCCACATTTCTGTGCACAGTCCATGTAAACCAGAACTTGCTTTTTGCACTACAAACATTCCTTTTCACTGTAGTGCATCAACTCTACTGAGCTCCACCTCCACCAGCTTCCTGCAATCGTTCAAAATGTGCTAAACAGAACAGCGACACCATCCAAAGTGTCACATGTTACTGCTGCATGCCCAGCAGGACACTGGTACTGGGCAGCCAAGTCAGCTAACAGGAGTTCTGGCCTGACCTCCACCTGTCCCACCACTACTCTGAAACAGCTTTCTCTCAGTGAATGGCTACTACACTTTATATACATACATACATATGTATATATATACATATTAAATATATTTTCCCCCGTCCCTTTTCAGAGCTAACTCCGTAGCATTTCTGCACTCAGAAGGTTCCTGGGATGCTGGATCTTTTGTAAAAATGTACCTGATGAAAATTCCTCAGAATGTTGGATTTAGGCCTGGATTTTTAAAGGTGATAAGGTATTTTCTAAATCAAGCTCTAGGCTCTCAGATAGGTCAGCTGGGGGAAAACCCCACCTGAAACCCTTTCTGAAAGGCACAGCAGTGAGTACGAGAGGGGTTTGCTGTGCCATGGGTCAATAATTCAGACAGAGCTGCAGACTGTTCCCTCATTTCCCACACACCTTTGTAAAAACACGTGCTGTCAGGAGGTCTGCAATCATCACAGTGATAATAACCATCACATATTGTAGAGTTAAACACATTTCATACAGCTACATCAAAATATTATTCACAATACTCTTAAAATATCTAGGTTTCTTTCAATACCTGCCTGTCTTCTCTCAGCTAAAAGAAACTATTCTTATGGAATATTTTGTGTCTCCTAGCAGTCACTCCTAATTTACATTTAAAGATGTGAATCAGACCCACTAGACTCCTGATACACCTCATGCAGAGATTAATCACGGCTGTTGGGATGATGAAGACTAAGACAGACCCATTTTACATCAGTGTAACTCAGACTGTAATGTACCACACTCAGGTTCAGGACAGACTTAAACCCCATTTTCAGTTGCTCTCCACGAGCCCCTTAGAGCTGCATGGGTGAGCTCCTGGGGCAGCTGTGCTAAGAGGTGCCACTACTGCCTTCTCCAAAGGGCATTTTCCAGACTGCCAGAGGAGTAAAAGGTGTCAGGGAGAACTTGGGAGAAGCAAACCTTGGCTGCTCTCACCTCCTGCTTAACACTTGCATGTTGTGTTTTGAGGCTGCTGCAGCAGCAGCACAGCTCACAAACCTATTTTACTTTAGAGAGAATTTTTCCTCATCCTAGACAGATGTTTGCTTATTTTGCTGGTTCTTTGTTTTCTCCTGCTTGTAAACATTACTGTCTGTTGCTTACTTAAAGTTTTTTTTGCTACAAACAAGAGTAGTTTCATTTATATAGCTCCTGCTACAAATTTGCTTTAGGATACAGAACTTAGTTCCATCACTGAAATGTTGTACCAAATAATTTTCAGATCTTCTGTTTTCCCCAAAAATCCACATGCAAATTCATTTTAAATTAAAAGTCTGATATGTTAGACATCTCATAAGCCTGAATCCAAAGGATGAGGGTGTGGAAAGGCAAAATCTACCTCCAATGTAGATTTAGAAAAGCAAGTGTGTGTGCACGTGACAAGCCCCAGTGGTTTGAGGGCTGCTTTGTACAAAATGCATCGTGTCCGTGATGACAGAACACTTGTGCAGGTACACACAGTACCTGGGAATAACTTCTTTCAGTATGGAAGCAAAGCTGTCCTTAAAACTTTATTAAATAAAATAATGCAAAAGCAAAGTACTGGAAGAGGTAATTGTAGTTTAAAAAATCAGAGAAGAACAAAGACACCAAAGCACTCTTAACAGTTTACAGTGCCCAGATAAAGTAAAGAACTGAGCACTATTTTTATGCCAAGGTGGTTTCACAACAGCCTTCCAAGGTTCTGGCCATCTTACTATTCTTTTACACTACACAGTAAATTGGACACAAGCCCTGATCCAAGAGAAAATGGGTAATGAAATCCTGTTCCCCAGCAGCAAACACATGTCCCCACCATCTTACAGCCATGCCACGCTGCCTGCCTTGATCTTGGCAACAGGTAAGTGACCAATTCTATGGGACCAAGGTGTGCACATGACCAACCAACCTCCTCCTTCCAACAGCAACCTTCTTTGGAGTAAAACACAATTCCTTCATCTCATTCCTCTCAGACCAGCCCCTACCATAGTCCTTCCCAAAAGCTCCATTTCTGTGCTTTGTTACTGTTACAGTTTCTATATACACCATGGGAATCCTCTCATTCTGCTGTGCAGTTTTAAGTGCTGAAAAATGTACTGTCCACCTATACAGCTTCTGCCAAAAGTCAAACAGCCAGGCCCCGATAAAGAACTAAAAGAGAATCTAGATATTTGTACATTTTTTTCCCCTAGAGATCTTGTGTTCATTCAAGTGATGTTATCATTTTAGGAGAATTATCCCAGGAATCCATGTAATTAAAAACACTTTAGTGGTAACAGAACGGCACCATTTGAGCCCTTTGATCCCCTCATGCCTGGGACGTTGCCAGCACTCTCCCTGAGCCCACAGCCCCAGGATTTTTCACTCCCTGAACTACTTATTGCTCTCTACCTGACAGGAGCATGTGGGCAGGTGAGGATCAGCCTCTTCTCCCTGGCAATAGCAACAGGACAGGAGGAAACGGCCTCCAGCTGCACCAGGGGAGGTTAAGGTTGGACATCAGGCGTAACTTCTCCACATAAAGTATGATCGGACACACTGAAATGGGCTGCTCAGGGAGGTGACGGAATGGTGACTGGAGGAAAGACTGGACAGGGCACTGGGTGCCATGGTGTGAGTGACACGGTGATGTTCGGTCACAGGACGGAGACGATTCTGTCCGAGGCGCCCTCCAAGCTAAGCGAGTCGGTGTCTGACACCGCCCCAAGACGAGCGCCCAGCCCCAGCGCCAGCCGGGCCCTCAGCACCAAGATGGCGCCGGCCGCCCTCAGGACACACGCGTGACGTCACACGGCCCCGCCCCTCGCGCAGGCGGAGCCGCTCAAGGTCAGCGCGGCCGCGGCTCGCCCGGCGCGGCTCCGGTTCCGGTTCCGGTCCCGGTCCCGGTGTGCGGACGGGAGGACATGGCGGCCCTCGGACGGGTGTCCCGCCTGCTGCTCGGCGCCGCCGCCCCGCGCTCCCTGCCGGCGCGCGGCATGGCGGCGGCCGCGGCACACGAGGAGGGCGGAGGTAACGGGGTTCTGCGGGGCGAGGGCGGAGCCGGGGCCCGCGGATGGCGCAGTGCTGCCCTTGACACCCGGTGCCCTTCGTGCGGGAACGGAGCATGGCAGGCGCTCGGTGTGAGCCCCCGCCGGGGTTTAATCGTGAACCCGGATCCCTGTTACAGACGGGGAGGGAGCCGCGTTCGAGGAGGGACGCGGGTTCATTAGCGCCGCGCTAATTGTGTGGCAGGCGCGGTCGGGTCAGTAACGCTGATGCGGCCGCGCTGCAGTTCTGATCTCTGATCGCTGTCCCGCTGTCCCGCTGCCCAGCCCGCATGTGGAAGACGCTGACCTTCCTGGTGGCGCTGCCCGGCGTGGCCGTGTGCATGCTGAACTGCTACCTGAAGGCACAGCACCATCACGAGCGGCCCGAGTTCGTGCCCTACTCCCACCTCCGCATCAGGACCAAGGTACTTCTGCCCGCGGGCTTTCGCTGCCCTCTGCTCCTCCTCGGCTGCAGAGCTCCTCTGAGATTGCCATTTTCCTTTCTCGACTGCTGCGTGAGCTGGCTGTGATAGCAACTCGTGGCTGTTTCTGCGGCAGTAAGAGTTTGTCACAGCTCTGATGAAGTACTCATGATACTCACACGCCTTTCTGTCCCAGAGTGATCCTCCTAATGTCTTGCTGAAAAAATGTTTCAGTCCTAAAGCTGCTGTACTTAAAGTAACACAGATCTAAAAGGTAGCAGTGGAGATCCCAAGTACTCAAAATTGGGGTCCTCATAATACAGCACAGTGGATGTTTAAGTAAGAGTGAGGATTGTGCTGTTCAGAGACTCTGGCTCCCAGCTAAGGGAGAGAGTTTTCCAGCTCCTACATCCTGGGAGCCAGCTTGTTTAATTCACCAGCCTGTCGAGCTGTGTGATCATAGAATCATTTAGGTTAGAAAAGTCTTCTGAGATGGAGCCCTACCTTTGACTCATCTCCACCCTGTGGCCCAGTGATGGCACTAAGTGCTACATCTAGTCTATACCCAAACACCTCCAGGGATGGTGACCCCAGTAGCCTGGGCAGTTTGTCCCAATGTTTAGCAACCCTTTTCGTGAAGAAATTCCTCCTGATGTCCAGCCTGAACCTTCTGTGGCACAGCTTGAGGCTATTTCCTCATAGCCTGTCACTAGTTGCCTGGGAGAATTGATGTTTGAGTCTGTACTGTTCTTGGTTTCAGGTGCTTGTAGAGATTGTTCAGGAGCTGCCACTGGCTTATTTTCTTTCTTCTTTCAACAGCGTTTCCCCTGGGGTGATGGGAATAAAACTCTGTTTCACAACCCCCACGTTAACGCTCTCCCAACCGGTTATGAAGATTAAAACCAAGATCCTGATGACAGCCAGAACTTTGGCTCTCCCCATATTGAACCAGAATGCTGAGTGTGAACCATCATTTCTGGGGTCATAGTTACAGAAACTGTTTCTTCTGAGATGAAGCTGAGTGGTGTTGTGGCCCCCATGTGCACTTGTGATGGGGCCCTTTAAATAAACAACTCTGAACATGAATTTGGGATTTGACTTGTTTACCTGAATCCTTAGGAGTTTTTCAGTTGTGTTGGCATAAAGCATTAAGGTTACTCACAGGAAAGAGTGCATGAGCAAAGGGGTTTCACTGTCTGAATGGTAACACATGTTCCTGTGTCTGTAACAAACAACACGAATGCATTTGGCACAGGACATGAATCAATTTCATATTCTTTGTGTCTGGTTTAACTGATGACTCTAAACTCACAGCCAGAACAACATATACGTAGATTAAAATTCAATATATACTGAAGCACATTCTCCATTATCAGCTTTTGCAATATTTATTAACAGTCATGAAGGTGATTTTCTCTTGGTCCCTCCTGGCAGAGGGGGTGGCAGCAAAGATGTTGAGCTAAGCTCTGCCTTCACACTGCTCCCCTTCAGCTCTCAAATTTTCAGGCACATCAACACATATCTTGCTCACCACTCTGCTTTCCATAAAGCTGCAGTCTGTGTCTGTCACACAGGTTTTGCAGAAGAAAACACAATTTTGGTTCTACTGCTTGTGTCTGTGTAATGTGTACTGTGTCAAGCAGAAGCTGCCTGAAGCAAAGGAAATAGTGAGCCAACAGCATGAGCTGTACAACTTTAATTTTCAAGTTTTTGCTCACTACAAGTCAACCATGTTCCAGTTCTTACTATAACTTCTATATTTTTTGCACAATGTGAAACTGAGCTCTATTTCAGCTGTTATTAGCATGGTTATTACCAAAAGGTAGAACGCAGCAGCTGCTTTGGCATTGTGCTGTTGAAAGGAGAAATGGATGGCAAGAGATGCCCTTCCCCATGTTGCCATGTGATTTTTTTTTTTTGTCTGCTTAGCAGTTGACTGCTAAGACTGTTGAGACAAAGTTTTCCTGTGTTGAAAGTACAAGGCACTGATGGGCACAGTTGTTTTAAAGCTGACAGTCACATTACATTTAGCCCTACATGAAGATCATAGAAAAGCAAACTGGTTTTGTGAGTTACCCCTTAAAAAAGGAAAAGCTACAGAGTCGACTGTCTCCAAAATGCTATTTCTAGATCCTTCCCTTAGACCTGCTGCACTTTGCCAAAAGGCTGTTTTTCCAGTGCTATATTTAAGCCCTGTGCTGACACATTAGGAGCTCCCTGCACCTGAGAACAGGAGGGTGGCTCACCTGGCTCTGTGACTGGCACAGAACAACAGCCTCAGGCTGCAGCACGTCCTGATCCTCTGCACAAGGCCCAAGGACTCAGTGTCTGGGGGTCTGTGAGGGGCTGTGGTGCAGACAGGCCAGCTATAATGTTTGAGAACTGCACTTTTTTTTTTTTTTTTTAAGTAAAACCTTTAATAATTAGTAGTAATTAAAATCAAGAGAGGAAGCTTTTTTTTCTCACTGTATGTCTAGAATTATGAAGTCATCTTTTGTCCCCAGGCCATAATATATTTTTTACCTGTGTTGGTGTAAGGAGAGGGGCAAGCTTTGCCTCATCCCTGTGTGAGGATCAAACCACAGAATCGTGTAATGCTGAAGGAGAGAGAATTCAAGTTCATGAAGTTCATGGATGTGTTGGTACCTCAGAAAAGGTTGAAGTAACCTCTGCATTAAAAGTCTTCTCTTCAGCTGCTGAGCAGGCCACTTCCATCCCTCCTAGGGGGCACAATCAGACTCTACTGCAGTTACCTACTTGAACAAAATATAACCTGGTTGCATTTATTTTAGCCAAGCTGTTGCAGGTCCACTAGTGCTCTTAACCCATCTCTGTAGCTGACACAAAACAGTGCTTAAACCCTTCAGCATTCACGATTACATGAAACTAATTTCATCACCAAAATTCAGCAGCATAGAGATGATAGAAAGTACATCAACCCCCTTCATATTCTTTTTAAACACTTTCAAGTGTTATATAAATAACCAAGAGAAATCAGCCACAAAGAACCCACCTCATCCCGCTCCAAGCAGCATTCCCCCATTACAGAGTACATTCAGTAGGAAGTTATTCACATGGAGTTTTAAGCAGTTAGATGCTGAACCACCACCAAGTTTCACTGGCAAGGAGGCAGCAGTTACCACATGATCCAGTCCTTTTTTTTTTCTTTCAGCTGTTTCTTTTCACAAGCAGAGAACATTTGTCACTTCCTAGAAAGCAGTTAACAAAGGTCTTCTCCAGGTGGCATCTGTGGTACACCTGGTGATGGTGCTTAGTCCAAAGGCTCCTATTAGTGACTCCACCCATACAGCCAACATCAAGAGGAGTTTTCACTTTTTCCTTTACTTGGGCCCATGAACTCCAGGCCCTCAATGGGTATGTCTTTTTCCTTGATGGCTTTCTGAAAAGAAGAAAAAGAAAACCAAATAATTAATTTCAGCACTTTACAGGGCTACATTATGTTCTTTTTGGTACAAAACCCAGAACCACAGAATCAATTGGGCTGTAAAATACCTCTGAGATCATGGAGTCCAACCCATGACCCATGAGTAATAGCACCACGTCAACCAGACCATGCCCATGCCCAGGCTCGCCTTAAACACTGATTGCACCACCTCCAACGTCTGATCACCCCTTCTGTGAGAAAATTCCTCCTAATGTCCAACCAAAACCTCCCTGCTGCAGCCTAATACTGTAAGCTCTTGTCCTAACGCTTGTTGCCTGAATAGAAATCATCTAAAATAATCTAGATCACAAGTGATCTAGAAAAAGTAGTTTTAAAGGCTGGTTTGAACAAAGCTTAAATGTTAGAGTTGCTGAAGGACGTACTGAGAACTCACTGAACTACGGTCGGTCTGACAGAAACGTGCTGCAGCCTGTACGCACCAGCTTGAAGAAGTAAATAAAAATAAGAGACGTCTGTAATGACGGACAGACGCAGGGCAAGAGAAGCCCAGAGCCGCGTGGGGGGGGGTCAGTGGTGCGGCCCGAGGCCGCGCTGGGGTGCGGCGGCGGCGGAAGGGTCAGCGCAGCGCGGGGGAAGGACGCTCGGGGCACGGGGAGAAGGGCCCGGGCCGGACGCACCTGCACGCAGAGCTGGTAGCGCTTGAAGAGCTGCCCGCAGGGATCGCCGGCGCTGTCGCCCTTGAGGAACTTCTCGGCGAACCAGCGGTTGAAGCACTGGTCGTACTCGCGCTTGAGCTCGGTGCACGCCTCGCCCACGCTGTTCATCGCGGCGGCCGCGGCGGCCGCGCCGTGACGCGCATCCGGTGCACGGTGACGTTCCGCCGCGGCGGCGGGCGCGATGCGCGCGCTGCTGCTCGGGCCGTGGCTCCGCGCCGGGACCGGCCCGCGGCCGCACCGCCTAACGCCGCACCGAGCGCTCCGGGCCGCGCCCACGGCACCCAACACCGCCTGCGACAGCCAACAGCGGGGCCCTGCCGCTGGCCGGGATTTGCCGACCTTAAAGGTCTTTTCCAGCATTCACGATTTTAGGGTTCTTTGTAAACTCCGTGTAACAAGTTTCTAATTAAAATAAAGTAGTGCTATTACACTTGTTAATTTTTGACCTTTTTTTTTGTCCGTGTTGATGCTTTTGTACAGCAGAAAGTGTCGGTGGAAGTGCTGGACCACTTGGAGCAGCTGGCCCTGGTGGATTTCCGGGACTCGGAGGGCGTGGAGCGGCTGCAGAAAGCGATCCAGTTTGCTGATCAGCTTCATGAAGTAAACACCGACGGCGTGGAACCGATGGATTCAGTGCTGGAGGACAGGTGCTGAATCGCAGCAGCCTCTTTTTATCTGTTAATGCATCAAACTGTTTGCTTCTGGGACCTTTTTTCCCTGGGAATCACCATGCATATGGCCCCTTTGCTCAAAACGTCTTCCTGTGTTTCTGTGTGGGAGAAGGGTGTCATTGGCACGTGTAATTTTTATGTGTGAGTAAAGCAAAGGTGAACTTCAGTTCTTTAATCTGTCTTGTCACACTGTTCCCTGTGGTAAGTACATTTTTCTTTTTTTCAGGATTTTTCCTAGAGGTGTACAGAGATAAATGAAAAAGAAAACAATTTCTATTTCTACTCCTTGTTTTTCCTATGTGGAATGTGTTTGGAGAATTGTTTACCTAGAGTGAGTGCTTGGTTGGATTCTGGTGAGGATTGTTTGAGCCTGACGGCCAATCCAACCCCCCTGTGGCTGGACTCTCTGCAGAAGGTCACAAATTGTGTTAGAGAAAGTAGTATACAGTTTTAGTATCTTCCTTTTTATATAGTATATTAATGTATTTAACATAGTTATAATAAAGAAATCATTCAGCCTTCTGAATTGAGTCAGTCATCATAATTTCTTCCCATTAAGTTCACCTGCATTTACAATAGTTCCCCAAATGCCTGCCAGTGCCATTCTTGGGTGCTTCAAAATGTTCCAGTATTTGTCTCAGTGTTTATTTAAGAGACCAAAACCAGATTCAGAGATAAAACACCCTTCCTACCTCATATTCACTGAACAGCTTAAAAACAACCAGTAATCTTTGTCCTTCAGGTGTCTGTATCTCAGAGAAGATGATGTGACAGAAGGCAACTGCACCAAAGAACTGCTGGAAAATGCCAGAGAGAAAGTAGAGGAGTATTTTGTAGCTCCACCAGGTATTGACTTGCTTACAAAAATCTCTTAATCTCACCTGAATTAACCTGAAGAAAATAACCTGCCATAGCTGCATTTACTTTCAGAAATACTAGTCAATAATAGGGAGCACTAAAAGAAAGGACTGTAGCCATGTGTGTAAAACAATGTGCAGTTTATTAGTCCAGAAGCAGCACAGAGGCTGGCCTGACTCTGAAGTTACTGCACATGTTGAGAAATTCCTTATAGGAAGTCAGGCAGGACTTACTTTCCTGACTTTCTCAGGGTATTCAGGCAGCCTGTACATGGAGTAAACTGGAGAAACACTTCCATGCCAAGGTGTGCTGCCCACAAGGTAACTTACAGCTGGTCTCACACAACTTGTTTTTTGTTTTCTCTCAGGTAACATCCCTTTACCAAAGCTAGAAGAACGAGAGACTTTTCTGCAGGGCTCTAAGTGACAGCCCAGAGCCTAAATGCCCTTTGAGTGTTTTATCTGGGGAAAGTGAAGTTTTGTGCAGTCACAGCTGAAACACCCTGGCATGTATTTCCGTCAAAAGAAGAGCACTTGCAAGACAGAAGAAAGAAAGTGTAAAAGTTTAGTAGTGCTGCTGAAATGTTCAATGTCTCTGAAGCTGGATGGCAGCATGGCAGATGATCTTAGTGCTTTTATTTGCAAAGGGAATTTGCTGTCTGGAGGTGAGAGCAAACCCTTGTCCCACTCTTCATTGTGGAATTATCCAATTTTTTGTTTAAGCATCCATAATATACTCATAGATGCATAAAACGTGTAATTACTATGATACTTGAATTCTTTCAAGGGTATTGAAATAAAGCCTGTATTTAACATCACTAATGCAATTCTCTGCAAAGCTGTAACACTGTATTTTTGCTTTAGCCTCAGACTTGTCAAGATTCAGACCCTGCAAATGCTGAAGTTTAACAAATATGCAAACTCAGCCTGTAAGTAATTTATGAAGTTTATAAAAATCATAACAAGGAAAGATTTCAAATATCTATCAAACAATATGATTAATACCACAATCATAATATCAGGTAATTCCCAGTTTGAGAAGTCCCCCTTTGATCTGTCAATTTTGGCCTCTTCCTTTGATCATCAGAGAGAATAGGGACAATATTATTTACACAGAAAAAGGAAGAGGAATTTGAGAGGGAACTGAATGGCTGCAGGAGCTTTTCACCCAAAATAGCATCAAGTAACTATTTAAAGGCAACAACTAAACCAACAATTTGGACAAGATGATCCCACATTCCCAATGCAGCACAAGCTAAACTTAAAACTGCCAGTTCAGTGCTGCTCCCACACACTCCAGTGAGAACAGACTGCCTGATGCTTGTTCCCTGCAGCCTGAACTGCATTTCAAGTGGAAAACACCCATCTCCTTAATGAAGGGGTTTGATGCAACTTCACCACAAATAAGGGAATTACAACCTTGACTGAGACACCTGTAACCACCAAAAAGAAAAGCTCACAGAGGGCAGATGAGCTGCCTGTGGGGCAGGGCATATCAGTGCCTCAGTGGGTCTAACACTGGTGGTGCTGAGCCCCAAGGGATGGTGCTGAGCCCCACTGGGCCCCGGCTGCACTTTGAGAGAGGAACAGAGACCCCTCATGTGCTGGTTCCCCTGCATTCACTGCAGCACTCAGTAAATAGATCCAGTTTCTCTGGAGACCATGGAGATAACCTCACTTAGAGCTGCTGACATTTTTCCACCACCACAAAACTGTAGATATAAAATTGGATTGGAAGCCCTTGCATATAAATCAGGTTTACAAAGAAAATTTCAATGTGGAGATTCCTTTGCCTTTGCGGAAAGAAAAATAAGATGGAAGTTGTTTTATTGCTAATTTATTTCATGTTTTGGTATTAACTAGAAGCCCCAGGAAAAAGCTCTCTTAATACAGTGATAGGTTGTGCAACACAGAGTAAAAAAACACCTCTGCAACTCAGAGTAAAAACCCATCTCATGAAAAGTGCTTACAGCCTAAACTGGGAGAGCAATCTCATGAGATACCTTATCCATTACCAAGTTTTCTTCAGCACTCCTCTACCCCAGCTATCATCTCCTGTGTTTATTTGTTCTGCCTTTCCCTGCAGCTCTGTCCCGAGGGAAACTGTACTTTTATACTCTTGATTAACAAGTCGGACTCTCATGTATCCCAGGCTTTAATGTTCCTCATTAACAACGTGCATCTCACCCACACTGACATTTCCTGCAGTCGTCATCACAATTGTTCCTTCAGCAAACCATTTCTTAATAAATGCAGAGAAATTTGCCTGCAGCTACCAAACACAACCACCTCCTCAGAGATTCATGGGCGTTTCTGAATTTCAGTGGAAGCACTTGGAGGATTGTTAAATGGTTCCATTCTGTCAGCACAAAACTGCCCAGTACTCAAAGAACTACTGCGAGTGCTGCAGATACTGAACACAGTTCTGGAGATTAATTACTTACTGTGGCCCTAAGACCACTCAAAACTTCTTCATGTTTCTAGCAAAATAACACAAGCAAAGTTGTGAATTGCATCTCTAATTGGAATGCTAAAACCTGGGAGTCAGGAGTTATTCCTGAGGTTTTCTAGAGTGACAAAAGTATTACATTATGCAGTTTCAATATTTCTGGGGGCAGTATATTCTTCTGAGGTTGCTTTAGAGTTTGCAAAAGCAACGAGTTGCTTGCAGTTATGCTGCTTTTGCTCTGAATGACACCGAGCAGGTTACTACACTATATGAATATGCAAAATATTTACATTTCAAGTGAGGTGAATGCTTGCTCTGGAAGTGGGTTTTTTTGAAATTTCTACAAGGAAATGGGAGTCCTACCAGCCAGTATCTAAAAACCTCTTTTAAATAATCCTGTGCTGTTTGCTGTAGACCTCATTCAGAGTCCTGTTATTAACAGATCACCAGCTGTGGAAGACTCAACAGCAATGTTCTATCTGCTGACAAGAGTGTAAGCAGAAAGTGCCCCAGGGAGAGTGAAACTAAGAAAACAGAGCACTGAGGTGCTACCAAAACATCTTGCTTCATTTAAAAAAAAAAAAAAAAAAAAAAAAAAAAAAAAACCAAAACCAAAATAAAACCAACCAACAAAAATAACTTCCAAACCAAACACAAACAAAAAAAGGCAAGAGTTGCAGAAATAGAGAGGTCTGCAAAAGATGACGTAAAAGTCTGATAGATTTTGTTCACTGAAGGAACAAAGTTTGCAGCTGACTTGATCATACCCAGTAAACATGGGGCAAAGATTTCTATCAGAGGTCATTTAGTGTGACTTGAAAAGACACAACTGAAAACAGACAAGTGAACAGGACAGGTGATCAAGTGCCACTCACAAGCTATGGAAGTCCTTCTTTTGACATGGGTGGACTTCACTCCCAGCAAAGGGTATATTACTGAAACACCTGCCCCAGATAATATCCCAGTATTCTTTCGGTACTATCACATACTGTTGAAAGGTCTATTCCGAACAAGTGTTTGTTCCAAAGAAAAACAAAGCTTCTTATTGGTTAAACTCATCATCAATGTGATCCAGGCTGGGGTAGGCAATAAAATGGCTTTTGCGGCCCACGTATCAGCTATGGAAAGGTGTTTTACAGAAGCTGGTGGACACATTACACTGCCTTGGAGACTGAGTATACTTTAGGGAATAAGTTTTTTACCCAGGATCACCTGACGATGATGCTACACAGAATTACAGAATTAGATTAGAAAAGATTGAGATTTTCAAGTCCAATCGGTGACCGAACACCACCATGTCAACCAGACCACGGCACCCAGTGTCATGTCCAGTCTTTCCTTAAACACAGGGACAGTGACACCACCATCTCCCTTGGGCAGCCCCGTCCAATGTCTAATCACCCTTTCTGTGAAGAAATTCCTCCTAATGTCCAACCTAAGCCTCCCTTGGCGCAGCAGACCAGCAGCACGAGAGTCAGGACTGGAAGCTTTCCATACAGAGCCCAAATCCACGTGATGATCCCAAAACACATGCCCGGTTCTCCGTTACGCCCCCGCAGCCCGCGGGTCGCCATGGCAACGGACGCGGCGCGGGGCATCCCGGGCCGCAAGACAACGCCGCAGTAAAACCCAGCCGGGCGCCGCGCCTCAGCCAATGGGCGCTCAGGGAACGGCAGCGCTGGCCAATGGGCGCCCGGGAGGCGGTGCCGGCGGCCAATGGGGGGCGGCCGGCGCGCAGGGGGCGGGGCAGAGGCGCTGCGAGGCGCGCACGGACCGGAGCGCAGCGCTGTCCGCTCTGCAGCGCTCCAACGGTGAGGGACGGGCGGCTCCAGAGACTCCGCGACTCCGCCATCCCGGTACCGGGCACCTCGCGTGTCCCGGCGGCTCCCCCGTGCCTGGGCTCTTCCCTGGCCGCCGCCTCCGGTTTTCCCGGGGTGGCAGCACCCTAAAGCCGCGCGTGCCGGGCTTTCTTCGCCTCCCTCGGGGGCGGGAAGGGCCGTCGGGCCGGGCGGTGGAGCGGCCGCGCTCTCTCGGGGCTCCCGGGCCGGAGCGGGGCTGGGGCGGGCCGGGAGGGCGGCGGTGCGTGTGCGGCTCCCGGGCCGGAGCGGGGCTGGGGCGGGCCGGGAGGGCGGCGGTGCGTGTGCGGCTCCCGGCCGGAGCGCGGCTGCCGAACGGGAGCGGCGTTTGAGCCGCTCGGGCCGTGCCCGGGCCCGGCACGCCCAGCCAGGGCGGGAGCACCGCGGCGATACCTGTGGGGCTGCTCGGCAGCAGGTGGTTCTGGCAGGTGCTTCTGCAACTTTGAATTTCCTTCTTTTTTTCTCCTCCAAGCAGGCAATCATGAGTGATCGAAAGGCAGTGATCAAAAATGCGGACATGTCAGAAGAGATGCAGCAAGACTCGGTGGAATGTGCAACTCAAGCCTTGGAGAAATACAACATTGAGAAGGACATCGCTGCTCACATAAAGAAGGTAGATGTTGGCTTGTAATGTGTTCATGAAAAATCAATCGGGGAGAACTCTGCTAGGCAAGTAGCTCTAGAGAAAGGAATTCTAGAGGCACCAGATAAACAAGTTAGCCTTTGTCTCTTTTCCTTTCCCCACCCTTTATTTAGACCCTTCTAGGTACTTCTGCTTTTCTCTTGTAGTGCCTTACACCTTTTCTGCCATTGTCCAGCTGAGCAGAGAGTGGCACCTGACTGTCCCTGTGACTGATGAGCTGGTACAACACACGGGCTCTGTTGTGCAGCCTATTTAAAGAGTGGTGGTTTGCTGACCATGTAATAAGTGGGTTTGGTTTTTTGGCTTTCCCACTACATGTAAGACAAGCTGTTCATGCTAATGCTGAACAGATGGTTCATAGCTTACAGTTTGTCACATTTTCTCTCTTGACTCCTACTGGGAGCCTGACTGAGCTGAAGGGTTTGGTTGAGCAGAACAGAAGTTTCCATGTCCTCAGAAAAATCTCTTCAGCTGACAGCTGTTAGGTACTGCAGTATAAATTCACTGACTGCATGGGTTTGCTCACTGTAGACCTGTACACAGGAGTTTATTTCTAGCAGGCTCATGACAGCAGCATGTCACATCATCATCTCATGACCGGGTGTCAGGGATATGGCAGAGAATTTTCCATCAAGTCTCCTTTCAGCATCCTTATTGCAAAAAACAGCTAATGAAGGCAAAATACCAGTTTCATTGGAGATTCAGAACATGCAAATTCTTGGAAGTTATGGTTTGAGATCATGACATGACTGCAGGGGAAAAGTTACCTCCCCAAACATATGTTTTAAGCTTATTCCTGCTCTGCTTGGAAGCACTTTTTTTTTTTTTTTTTTTTTTTGTATGACTAAGCAGCAGATGAGTTATAAAGTGACAGATGATCCTTGTGCTTAAGAGCATATGCTGCTCCTTAATTGCCTTCTTCGAAAAGTGATACTTGTTATCAAGTGACAAATCATTGCCAAAAAAAAACTTCCCAACTGTTAGACAATAATTACCATGAAAATGCTGACTTTCTAATTCTCTGTTCTATAGGAATTTGACAAGAAATACAATCCCACGTGGCACTGCATCGTGGGAAGGAATTTTGGCAGCTACGTGACTCACGAGACCAAGCACTTCATCTACTTCTACCTCGGCCAAGTCGCTATTCTTCTTTTCAAGTCTGGCTAAACCATGGACTGTTACTGAAACTTGCACCTGAGTACAGGACTGCACACTGATTCCCACCTTCAGCCTTCCTGGGGAAACACATCTTGATCTTCAGGTCTTTTGTTGTATTGTTAATGGTCAGGGATTTTGCTGTAGCGGCTGGTATTTTCATTGTGGCTATATAGAAAAGTAAAAATGTCTTCCTTGTATTTATTTTCTTTCAAAAGATTGCTTCTTTGCTAATAAAACCGTTGGAACAAGTTTATTCCTTTGCCCTCTTGAATGACCCTTTTTTTTGCCATGTGAATGAAGGATGAACACCCCCACCTCTATTCCCACACCCCAAATCCATCCTTTCTTAAGAAACCTTCTTACAAGACTGATTTAGGTAGAAAAAATTTGATGCAGAGCCCTTTTATTTCATAAGCCTTCCATTTGCCTTTGAAAGAAGGAGTAATGGGAAAAAATCCTTAAACTCCATATGACAAAGATAATAACAGCTTCATAAAAGTCCATAGTTACTTCATAAATCCAAGTTACTTCTCACAAGTATAATATCCTCCTTTAAAGTAAAAAAAAAAAGGCATCTTATTTGGAGACTAATCAGTCTCTTTCTTTATCCACACCCACTGCCAACGTGCTTCGCTTGTCAGCATTGCTCAGTTTTGGCCACATCCTTTACATTGCACTTGAAGGGAAATGCAAGTGTAAGAAACACCACTGGAGTCACTACACAGGTTTCTTGGTGGGGAGAGGTAACTTGTGTTCAGAGTCCAGCTGCTGAGCAAGTATCTGCTGCACAACTCCTTTTGATACCATTAAAATTCCACATATCCCTCATGAAAATGATAGTTTTGGCGTTTTGCTACCCAGACTCACAGTTTGAAACCTGAGTGAATGGCAACAATGCCAAAGTTTAAATTCTCATAATCCACTTTGAAAAAGCCTGCATCTTCTATCATTGCCTTCAGCTCCTCCTGAAAAGTAAGTGCCATAAGTATTAACAACCTGAAGGCCCGTAAGCCAGCTGGTCACAGGATTATGCTGGAATTGTGCTTTGTGTGTTAGTGAATTTGGGGAAATCCTGCCTTACCTGAGGGGGGAACTGTCGGATGCTCTCCACAAGATACTGGTAAGATTTCCAGTCACCAGCAATAACCTCACCCAGAACAGGGATAACCTGGAAACTGTAGAGATCATAGAGCCTGCACAGAAAGATGGTAAATACAGATTAATAGAAACAAATTTAATCCCTCTCCAACACAAGCTGGTCTCAGTGCCACTAGGCTATGCAGTCTGTAGCTGACTTTAAAAGTGCACCAACATGTGGTCTCAAAGTGTCTCCACCTTTTATTCTGTCTGAGTACAAAGAGAGCCCTGTGACCTGGCATAAAGCATCCCCATGTTCCTACCTGGAAAGAAGAGGGTTGCTGACATGACTAAATTCAAGGCACAGAAATCTTCCTCCTGGTTTCAGCACACGATAGGCCTCTTGAAGTGCCTGAGACAAAGCAGATGTAATAAGTTTGCTTCTGTAGAACAGCACCTGCCTATTATCATGCCATGTGATATTATCATGCAACTCTGATGAACTGAGGGAAACTAAGAGTATCCTGACCGTCAATCTGCAATATTTACTGTAGAGAAGCATCCCAAGACAAGTATAAAAAAAACCCAAAATATGCCACAAACCCAAAGCACAAATACTCTTGCTGTTACATAAATAGATTCTCACAAGGCTTTGTGTCAAAACTGTGATGTTGGGTTTGCAATTTTCTTTCCCTTCTCACAGTTGATGAAAGTTTGTTGGCAGAGCTCTTATAATTATAGACCAAACACAAAAGGGAGAAGGTGACTCAGCTACAAGAAACTGAAAATCAAAAACAGGCACAATCTCTTTTCTTCATTCAAAAGATTTTACTGTGAGGCACACCCAAAGGTTCAAAGAAGGAATGATACTGGGCTTCAAATGAGCAATGTGTAAGAACAGGAAGGAAAGAGAGAGAAGAAAAAAATCTTTGGCTACTTTGAAAATTCCATCCTGCATCAAAATAGAACACCTAACAAGAATCTAGACAAAATCCTATTTAAAACTGTATGTTCTTTCATACAAGAGCAGAGTTGTTTTCCAGAACCTCTGAAAGTTGTACATCTGCTTGACTTCAACTGTCCTGCTCCTATGGGATAAAATATCAACACTACACAGGAGCTCTGCAAAAGAGTTGGCAGCTTGGGTGTGTTTTGTATCAGGTCTCCAGGGAGCTCTGCTACCAGACTGCTGCATGCATGAAGGCAGAGAGCCTGTGCTTTGGAAGGGTGCACACAAAGCACCAGGAAAAACCACATGCACATTTTGTTCAAAGGCATATGGCTCAAGGTGGTTTGGATGCAAATGCTTCACCTTCCACAGGAGCTCTGCCAAGGTTGTAACATACTCCTCCAAAACAGACAATTAGTGCATCCAGACAGGTGTCCCCCCCACAACAGCCAGTCCTTCTCAAAGGACAGAGATAGTTCAGAACAAAGAGTACTACTTATCCTAATTAAAATCATACTTGTTCTCTATAGGGAGCTCTGCCACCAGCCAGTGTAAAGACACTCAGCAGAAGTGGGCTGAACAGGCTGGTTCAACAGCAGTGGGGGCAGCAGCCTCCTTCCCACTCTGCTCTGGCAGCTCTGTGGGCTCAGGCAGGGAAGCAGAAGGGAACAGGAAGCATTGGCCCCACTGTTGGTGGGCTACAGATCAGGTGCTGCAGGAAGATTTGAGACATGCAGACTGACTGCCCTGTGCACGTGTAGATCCATCCATTCCATAGGTCAGGAGAAGGTGGGGAATGACTGTAGCATGCAGCACTTTACCTTAAGAAGACACTGTGTGGCTTGCCAAGCTGGAAGGATTGGGTGCAACTGGTATAAATCTATCTTTTTATGACAAAGGTGGGGCACTTAATTGCATTTTCTATTCACACAAGTTGCATACTATATGCCACTTATTTTAAATGTTTCAGGAGTAAACTAAGATCTTCCTTCATCCAAAGGAGTTCCTACTTTGCTTCCTTTGTAGAATAAAAGCTCATAAGGACCCCACATCAGGGTATACTGTAGAAACTTACCAAATCAATACGAGTTACATTTCGGATTCCAAAGGCAATTGTGTAAACATCAAACTTATCATCATCAAAGGGCAACTCTTCAGCATTCCCAAGTACCCAGGACAAGCCTGTAGTGAAAGACAAGTCATTGAACTGAGCTCAGACTGCTCCAGAAAGGCTAGAACTTACCCATTCTAGAATGAATTGATTATTTTAAAAGTCATATTGTAAACAAATATTTCGATTTTGCAGTTTTGTTAGAGGAAAGACACCTTGGCCTCTACTCGTGAACCTTTCAAGACAAAGTAGTTCATTTTGCAGATCAGCCAAAACAATGTTCTGCACATACACACAGTGTGTATATGCCACAAAGATTTTACCCAAAACTTGCATCATAGTGGAAAGCACTGTTGGCTGCCATTTGTTTGTGGCAAAGTTGTAAAAAGAGAATCTCTGCTTAAAGTGTAGCTATAGACAATTACTAACATCTTGCCATGCAAAATGGCCAAAACACTTAACACAGTTTGCTAGAAAGCTCCCACAGGTTGAGGAACATGAAAAGCCACACTCCCTCCATCAGGACTATCAGTATGTGATGCAGTTGCAGCTGTGTTGCTTCCTAGTCCCCAAAGGATCAAGACCAGGTCTATCTGTGGAGCATGGACGTCCATGTTATTGGCAAGCGGACAAAATGCACAATCAGTCACTGTGCAACTCATGTTCCTTTTCCCCATGCACAGCTCCCACTCTTCCTGAATGTACACAGGGAAACAGCAAAAAAACCTCTGTCCCTAAAACTTGTTGTTATCAAGAATGCTACTGCCACAGTACAATGCATTTATTTACCTTCTGAGTAGCCAAGGTGCTGTGCTTTCTGCTTCCCAACTTTTAACATTTCTCTGTTGATGTCACAGACCACCACTTGGGAATCCCCTAGTGAGTTAAATTTGTCTTTCTGGTAACTCTCAAAAATTTCCTGCCATGACAAATTCTGGTGGTCCTTGAGCTTCCTCTGGAGCTGGCGTTGTCGTACAGAGCGAACATAATTAATGAATCGAAAGGCAATGTCACCTGCAGTAGTTTCAAAGGAAAGATACACATTTTGGAATGTTTTCTGACTCCAGGAAGTTGAAACATAAGGCCTTGAACATCCAACTGACTTACTATTTCTTTTTAGTCATATATATTTATAAAAACACTCCCTCAAACATATTGTAATAGACACATAAAGAGTGTGTGTGTGTACATGTATATAGACAGAAATGGAACTTATTAAAATCAAAGAGTCCATGACATTCTACAAATTAAGTTTCCCATAACATATCATGGCAGGACTACAATACTTTCAGACCCTTAAAGCAAGATAGTACAAAACACAAAGATACCAGTTTTCAACCCTTCTCTGGGAAAGTCAAGTAGATGCTTCACTAGTTTTAAAGACAGGGAGATAAGGGCAAGAAATAAATCCCAGCAGGAAATGTAATTCTGAACAGACTCAAACAGCTCAAAAACAGTGTGGCATTGTCACATGGAACTCACCAAAATTATTTACCTGTTCCCCCCGCAACATCAAGGAGGAGTGTTCCTGGGCAAGGGTTCATTTTATGCAGGAGGATATCCTTCCACACTCGATGAATTCCTAGAGTCATTGAATCATTCATTACATCGTATTTCGTGGCCACATTTTCAAAGACCTGATAAACTGCAAAGAAAGGACAATGGGAATGAGATGCAATTTACTTAAAAATGCTTATGTCTAAGTGAAACGTGTCTTTTATTGCCCTGTGTAGGTCTGTTCACTATGTGGAGCTGAAAAACACCACAAGAAAACTCATTACAAAACAAAACAAAATTGAATGTACTGAAGGCTCTTGCCTGACAAAGGTCTCTGGAGAAACACAGCCTTCCCGAGATGAGGGAAGTAGCAGCGATATTATTCACCGAGACTCCCGGTAACGCCTCAGACAAGGGCCCAAACACGTCCCCGGCACTCTGGAGAACGATCCCGGCTGCCCGGGAGCGCAGCTCGGCTCCGGGCCCGGCCCGCCCTCTCCCGCCGCCGCCGCCGCCCTCACTTTTCTCCCTCCTCTCCTCCTCCGTGACGGTCTGGAAGCCGAAGTGCATCTCCGGCCCCGCGGCCAAGCCACGGCGCGCCCGCAGAGCAACGGCGGCC